ACTTGTACTTTTAGTAGCGATGGGGTTTCACCATGTTGGCCAGGCTGATCTTGAACTCCCAACCTCAGGTGATCTGCATGCTTGGCCTCCCAAAGAGCTGGGATTACAGGTGTGAACCACCATGCCTGGCCTAAACTCTTTTTGTAAGAATACTTGACAGGCCAGTGCTTCTCAAACTGTAATGTCGCTAAGAATCACCTGAATATTACTGCACTTGACTAGTCTTAAAAAATATAAAAATAAAAAAATATAAAAGAAGAATCACCTGGAAATATTTGTAAAGTGCGTATTCTGATTCAATAGAACTGGTGGGGAGAGGGGCTGAGATTCTACATTACTAGCAAGTTCCCAGACGATTTTGCCTTCCCAAGTGATTTTCCCAGCTGGACCATCCTTTCAGTATCATGGTCAAAGGTAATGACTTTGCCTTGCATCAGGAGGAATATATGATACAAAGTTATACCTGCGTGAGTGTGGCGAAGTTGGGTCCCTTGGTTACAGCGGTATCAAGCAGACACCTTTCTGTTTGTTGTTGTTTTAGATTGCTTAACTACCCACGTCCACAGATACTCTTCTGTACTGGAAAGACACATTTCCCCCTTTACAATTAGAAGTCATCTTGGGGCTGGCTGTGGTGGCTCACACCTGTAATCCCAGTACTTTGGGAGGCCAAGGTGGGTGGATCACTTGAAGTCAGGAGTTCCAGAGCAGCCTGGCCAACGTGGTGAAACCCCGTCTCTACTGAAAATACAAAAATTAGCCAGGCATGGTGGCATATACCTGTAGTCCCAGCTTCTTTGGAGGCTGAGGCACAAGAATTGCTTGAACCTGGGAGACAAATCGCAGTGAACCAAAACAGTACCACTACACTCCAGCCTGGGTAACACAAAGTGAGACTCCATCTCAAAACAAAACGATAAAACAAGGCCGAGCGGGCAGGGTGGCTCTTATCTGTAATCCCAGCACTATGGGAGGCTGAGGCGGGTGGATCACTTAAGGCAAGGAGTTCAAGACCAGCCTGAGCAACATGGTGAAACCCTGTCTCAACTAAAAATACAAAAATCAGCTGGTCGTGGTGACAGGCGCCTGTAATCCCAGCTATCTGGGAGGCTGAGGCCAGGAGAATTGCTTGAACCCAGGAGGTGGAGGTTGCGATAAGCCAAGATAGCACTACTGCACTCCAGCCTGGGCGACAGTGAGACCCTGGCTGGAAGGAAGGAAGGAAGGAAGGAGGGAAAGAGGGAAGGAGGGAAGGAGGGAGGGAGGGAGGGAGGGAAGGAGGGAGGGAACAAAAAATCAGTTTGGCAGCACAAGTATTTGATTTTATACTTACCACTTTCTACTTCTTTTATAATACTCATTTTTTATTTATTTATTTATTTATTTTTTCTGAGACGGAGTTTCGCTCTTGTTACCCAGGCTGGAGTGCAATGGCGTGATCTTGGCTCACTGCAACTTCCACCTCCTGGGTTCAGACAATTCTGCTGCCTCAGCCTCCCAAGTAGCTGGGACTACAAGCGCATATCACCATGCCCAGCTAATGTTTTGTATTTTTAGTAGAGACGGGGTTTCACCATGTTGACCAGGATGGTCTCGATCTCTTGACCTCATGATCCACCTGCCTCGGCCTCTCAAAGTGCTGTGATTACAGGCGTGAGCGACCGTGCCTGCTTGGCCTTATAATACTCATTTTTAAATAACTTTCTTTTCGTCTTAAAGTATTAATCATTTTTTATTTTTATTTTCAGACAAGGTCTCTCTCTGTTGCCCAAGCTGGAGTAAGTGCTGCAATCAGGGCTCACTGCAGCCTTGACCTCCTGAGTTCAAGGGATCCTCTCACCTCAGCCTCTAGAGTACCAGGGACCCCAGGCTTTTGCCTCTGGCCAATTTTTTTGTACTTTTTGTAGAGATGGGGTTTTGCCATGTTGCCCAGGATGGACTGGAACTCCCTGGCTCAAGCAATTTGCCCACCTGGGCCTCTCAAAGTGCTGGGATTACAGGCAGGAGCCACTGCACCTGGCCTACTTTTTGCCTGTTACCCCTCCCTCCACCACCCCAGTGTTTTGCTCCCTGCTACACCCAAGAACCTGGTGCATAGTAGGTATGCAATGAAAGTAAAGAAGTGGAACTTATGATTTATTTTTTTTTTTTTGAAACAGGGTCTCACTCTGTCACTCAGGCTGGGGTGCAGTGGCGTGATGTCAGTGTACTGCAACCTCTGACTCCCGGGTTCAAGCGATTCTTGTGCCTCAGCTTTTGAGTAGCTGGGATTACAGGCATGCACCATCACACCCAGCTAATTTTTTGTATTTTTAGTAGGGATGGGGTTTCTCCGTTAGTCAGGCTGCTCAAACTCTCAACTTCAGGTGATCAGTCCACCTCGGCCTCCCAAAATGCTGGGATTACAGGCATGAGCCACTGTACCTGGCCTCCTTTCCTCTTCATTCCGCCTCAGTTCAGGTCTTCATCCCCCGTCTTTGGGACCATGGCTGTGGTCTCCTGATAGGGTCTTATATCCTTCTACATCTAATTTAGCTTCCAATGTGTAGCCGACAGGTTTTGTCACACCTTACTTCTGCTCAGGGTCCCTCTAAAGGCAACCACTGCCTGCAAGAAAAAGGCTACTCTCAACCAGGTGTGGTGGCTCACACCTGCAATCCCCGGACTTTGGGAGGCTGAGGTGGGAGGATTGCTTGAGCCTAGGAATTCCAGACCAGCCTGGACAACATAGTAAGAACCAGTCTCAGGCCAGACATGGTGGCTCACATCTGTAATCCAAGCACTTTGGAGGCCAAGGCGGGCGCCCCACCTAAGGTCGGGAGTTCAAAACCAGCCTGACCAACATGGTGAAACCCCGTCTTAAAAAAAAAAAAAAAAAAAAAAAAAAAAAGAACCAGTCTCTACCAAAAAAAATTAAAAATTAGCCAGGCATGCTGGTGCACGCCTGTAGTCCCAGATACTCCTACAGGCTAAAGTGGGAGGATGGCTTGAGCCCAGGAGGTCGAGGTTGCCGTGAGCCACGATCATGCCTTTGCATGCCAGCCTGGAAGACTGTGACCTCATCTAAAAAGAAAACAAAAAACCGCTGGGCGCGGTGGCTCACGCCTGTAATCCCAGCACTTTGGGAAGCCGAGGTGGGCAGGTCATGATGTCAGGTGTTGGAGAACAGCTTGGCTAGCATAACAAAACCCCGTCTCTACTAAAATTTAGCCGGGCATGTTGGCATACACCTCTTGTCCCAGCTACTACTTGGGAGGCTGAGGTAGGCGAATCACTTGAACCCCGGAGGTGGAAGTTGTGGTGAGCCGAGATCGCGTCACTGTACTTCAGCCTGAGCAACAGAGACGCCATCTCAAAAAAAATTAAAAAAAAAAAAAAAAAACCACAAAAAAAACAAAAAAACACTCCAAGGCCACTCCCTTGGTCTGTCCGTAGATCTGCATAATCTACCCACTCCGGCATTCTGCTGCCTCATTTCCTCCTTTCCAAACTCCAGTTATCCTCATTCCTGCAGGGAGTGTTTTCCAGTCCTCCAGGGCTGCCGGGCAGGGCTGGGTGTCCCCTGCCCTCACCCACCTTCCACTTTCTCCCATGCTGCATTTGCAGAATTGCAGGGATCATCTGTTCACGTTTCCTTCTATCCACCCTAGGGTGTGAGTTCCCCGAGAGCAGAGGCACAGCCTGGTCCTGGCACAGTGCCTTGCACACAGTATGCACCCGATACATGTGGTTGACTTGAACTTCATGTGGGTAGAGGGTGCGTAGGTGGTGGTGGTGGGGAAGCCTCACTGTGGTCCCAACAGTCTGGAGCTACTTTGCCTGTGTATCTGGCCTCTGGGATGCAAATCTGGGAGGATCAGTGTTTGCATGGAGAGCAGGAAATAAGAGCAGAACCCGAGGATGAGGAGAATGAGGGCAGAGACCAGAGAGGACTGGGTAATCATCTAGCCAAGGGCGCTTGTGGTCCAGCCTGGGCCGAAACTGAGACTAGGGTACTACCGGTTTCTCCAGGTGGGTGCTTCTTGCATTTTTTCTACCAGAGAAAAGTAGTGGAAGGAGGACAAAGGGCGGTTTCACGCAGCGCTGATCACACAGACTTGGGGGCCGATCAGCGTCTGGGGGACCAAAAGGCAGCGTGGGGGCTGGATTCACCCAGGCAAGGTGTTGAGCAGGAGGGATGGGGAGGTGGAGCTGGGGCGGAGGCACCAACACTTGAGCGAGGCATTTCCCTTTCTTCTCTGGGTGTGTGCGGTGGGGTCTCCCGAAACGCCCCACCCCCACGGGTGAGGCGGGCCCCATCTTTCCAGTCCCCGGGGAGCCCCAGCGTCCGCGAGGACAGGGAGGCCTCTAGCGGCCGGCGCGGGAAGCAGGCGAAGGCTGGCCGGGGAGGGCGAGAGGGCATTTCCTGCCCGGGCCGGGGGCCGCGCGGTTTCGCAAAGGAAGTGCCGCCGGGACGCGGGGCGGGGCGGGGCGGAAAGCGGGGCGGGGGTGCGGCCAATGGCGGCTCAGAGACCGCAAGGAGCCGGGCGGGCCGAGCCCCGGCGCCTGCCCCACCCAGGCCCCGCGGCAGACCCCGGCGCCGGAGCCAAGTTCTGCCGCTGCAGCCTCCACCCCGAGCCCCGCCCCTCCCGCTCTGGGGCAGAGGCCACGCCCCCCGCCGCATTCCAGAGCTGCCCCTACCCAAGGCCTTCGTTTTGCTTTGCAGCTAGCAGTATCCTGTCGACTGTGTCCAGGCATTTTAATTAGTCTTGCCAAGATGGCACATCTCCATTTTGCAGACCACATCTCCGAGGCGGGGAGATACAAGCGCACAGCCTGGAGGCTCAGATTTTGCGCTATGACGCTACCCATTCCCACCTGAAGCGTCCGGAGACCCGGGCAGCTCCTCCCTCCACCACCAGCCCCTCCAGGTGTGCTGAAGAGGGGTGCCGCGGCAGCCGCAGGTGCGAAGCACACACCCCACTTGCTAAGGGCCCCACAATAACCACAGAAGCAGGATGGGGGTCTGGCTTTCTCTTTAGTTCTCATCACTCTAGGGCGCTGTCACAGAGAAGGCACTTAAATGGCAAAGCCACCTGACGCAGACCAACCGTATTCGCCCCCCAACTCTGCGGGAGGGAGGCACCACGAAACCGCCACTTGACATCCCCCTTGGCACTGGTATGTGGGTCCCCTTAACCTTTAGAGCTTGGGGAGAGCCCAAGGCCTTGACCTCCGGAATCGCCTCGTTGGGAGGGGCTTCAGTTGGAGTTGGAAGGCAGGATATCCCCGCAGCGGCCCCCAGCCAGCAGGGGATCAGGCAGGGGGCTGTAGAGGATGGGTTGGCACAGGGAAGGGGGACAGCTTGGCAGGGCTTCCTGGAGATCCCCAAACCCCACAAAAGATCCCACCTCCTACAGATCCTCCAAAGGCACTGGTGAAGTCGGGTGGATGAGGAGGCACTGATGAGCTGGCGTAGAGACCCCACACATACTTAGCTGGTGGGCCTAGCATATGCTGGGCACAGAAGGTGCTCAAGAAATGTTTTTTGAATGAACGGAGCAAAGGGGTGTGAGAGGCAGAGGACAGGCCCTGGAGCTCCTGGGCCCAGCTTGTTCCATTCAGAAAATAGCAGTTTAAAAAATTGTAAAAATCCTTTCCCTCCCTCCCCCCAACTTCTGGGCCCAGGAAAGGGGCAAGGGAGGGGTGTCTCTACCCTGACCCTTCCCTCTCTCCTTCCCCTAAAAATCTATATACACATATACATATTTATATGGCACCACAAGAGGGTCTTGCCTTTGCCCCCACTCAGGGGCTGGGGGAACCAAGCCCCAGGGCTGGTGAAGGCTGAGTCTGAGGTGGTAGCTTGGGTGATGCGGGGAGCAGCCCTCAGCTGTCAGCCCTGGAGAAGCTGCCCTGAGGGGCCTAAAGGACAGACTCCTGCTTCCTTTCCCAGTGCTACCAGACCTCTCCTCCCTCCCAAGCAAAGGCAGAGATTGGTGGGGGCCCTCTCAATCCCAAGGGAGGAGGTGGGGCAGGGGGAGGCACTGGTGCTCCCCTCCCAGCCTAGAGCTGTGCCCCTGGGAAAGCTGGGTGGGGAAGAGGGAGCTCTATGCAAGGCACTTGATGTCCACCGTTCCCAGACTGGGGGCCCAAGGCAGGAACCCTGCCCCCAGGAAGCAGAACTGGAAGGGGCCAAGGGGCCCGATTTGGCAGCAGAGAAACACGGCAGCATGGACAGAGACAGAAAAAGGGAGCAGCAGGCAGGGCCCCCAGGTCCCCTGAGAAGAGGGGAGGAGGTTCAAAGGCACTGACAGGGGGCCCCAGGCTCATGGTCCTCAGTGCAGCCTGCTGTCCCTATGCCACCTGGCAGGGCTAGTGGGGGAGACACCCACTTCCCCATGGCACTGAGTGTGGCGGCGGCCCGTGGGTTTTCCTAACAAAGGCCCGGGCAGTCATCCTGGTAGGAGGTGTGGGTGTCGCTGTCGGTCAGGGGCAGGTCCTGGCCCCATCACCCTCACTAGCTCCCTGGCCGAGGCTGCCTGAGCACTGAGTATACGTCGTCCACGCGGCTGAGTTGCTCAAAGAAGGGGAGGAGGTCGTGGAGCTCTGTGTCACTCATGTTGTCAAACCACGATGCCACCGGTACCTGGGAAAGTGGGTGTAGGAAGGTGAGCAGGCGGTAGGTGGTACTGAGTGCAGAATTTCCAGGCCAGCCCTATGTAGCCACGACTCACGCCATGCAGATTCTGAAAACCCCTCCCCCACAACTTTCAAACTTTTTTGACAGCAACTCCCAGGAAAACACATTTATAACATAACAATGCAAAAGCTTAATGCTTCTTAACCCTAACTGGGCAAAGAGCTCAGTTACTTTCTTTTTTTTTTTTGAGGCAAGGTCTCGCCCTGTTGCCCAGGCTGGAGCGCATTGGCGCAATCTTGGCTCACCGAAACCTCTGCCTCCAGGGCTCAAGTGATACTCCCACCTCAGCCTTCTGCATAGCTGGGACTCTAGGCATGAACCACTGCGCCTGGCTAGTTTTTCTGCTTTTTTGTAGAGACAAGGTTTTATCATGTTGCTGAGGCTGGTCTTGAACTGCTGGGCTCAGAGCTTACCCAGTCATCTCAGCTTTCCAAAGTGCTGGGATTACAGGTATAAGCCACTACACCCCACCAGGTATTTTCTATTGTATTTCATTCTGTTAAAATTCCCCTCAGGAGGCTGAGGCAGGAGAATTGCCTGAACCCAGGAGGCGGAGGTTGCGGTGAGCCGAGATCGTGTCATTGCACTCCAGCCTGGGCAACAAGAGCGAAACTCCGTCTCAAAAAAAAAAAAAAAAAAAAAATTCCCCATCAGGACCCACTAAATTAATTCTGTGGCCATCAGTAGGTCACAACTGGCTGAAAAGCTGAAACTTTCCAAACTTCGCTGCCCTGTGGGGGCCCCTGTGCCTGGCAGACACTCTGCTGTGCGTGACTGGAATGGACCACGTGGCTACAGGGCAGGTACACGAGGGAAGTGGGTGGCAGGCTCAGGCATCTGAATGCAGGAAGGATGGGGTGGGCACCTGCCCCCCCAACCCCCCCCCGACACCAGCCAACTGGGGATCCAGGAGGCCAAGGTGGCCTGCTTCCTTTCCTGGGTCTCAGCTCCTGTCCCAGGCCAGCCCACACTCACGGCATTGTCCGGATGGAAGACGTAGGAGGCGGGCGAGTTGTCCAGGATGAGTACCCGCCGCAGGTCTCTGCCCAGCCGGCTCAGGTCCTTCACATAGTTCCCCCGGTGGAAGACACAGGACTCTCGAAACAGCCGGGCACGGAAGGCCCCCCACTTGTCCAGCAGGTCAGCTACTGGGTCTGCGTACTAGGAGAATGAGGCAGATCATCCCGGAGCCTGCAGGCTCATTGGGCTGCACGCTGGAGGCGGGTGGGAGGGCAAGGTTACCGCAGGACTCCCGTGGGGCTCACCTTGGCGAGGCTGGCAGTGAACAGCACACATTCAAAGAGCTCGCCCATTCGCTGCAGGAACTCATCCACGTGAGGCCGCTTCAGCACGTAGACCTGGGGGGCAGGCCAGTGAGGAGGGTGCGGGCCAGTGGGGCAGGGGAGGGGCAGTGGAGGGTTGGGAGGGCATGGGCTGGGAAGGCAGAGGCACACAGGAAGGAGGCTGGGCCTGCAGGCTCCGCTTGGCCAGCCGCCCTGACCACTTCTGGGGAAACCGCCCCCCCTCCCAGAAAACGATCAAAACTTCCACTCCACTGGCCAGTCCTACCTCACGAAGTCACTAATTCCCAGTCCCTTCCCCTGCCTCAGCCTCAGCCCAGTGCAGGAGTCCAGGGGCAGCCCCCTCACCCCAAGGCTGCAGTGCACCGGTCCCCGAGCCAAGTAATGGAGAACAGGCTGGACAGCACACAACCTATCCTGAATTACTTGAACTGGGTCCCGGGCAGGGTGGGGTGAGGGGGCACAGCACGGGGGGCCTAGAGGAGAAGCCCACGCTGCAGCCCGGAGTCAGCCCAAGCCCCTGTGGTTCTGTGTGCTTTGGGGGCAAGCCTCACACCCTCTCTGGGCCTTTGACATTCCACGTCTATGCAATTCCCATCCAAGGTGCCTCGGATTGGTGGGAAGAGCCTGGGGTCTGGAAGGCAGAGGCCAAGCCCACCACTGCCTCCTCCTGGCCCTCACCTGGTGGACCACCCCATCAATCTCCACAGGGATGATGAAGTCGGCGTTGTTCACTGGCTGTAGGGGGAAAAGAGCTGCTGGAGTTGGAGGAGGGAGCCCCAGCGGGCAGGGCCCAGCATACACCTCCCTCCCAGGCCAGGGTGGGGGACCCCGCCGAGACCCAGGCTGAGGGCTGTTGAGCAGGGCCCACCTTGAAGGAGCTGTGCACCAGGGTCTCATCCAGGTCGATGACCACGCAGATCTTGTCTGAGTCCTGGGCCTTGGCCTCGGGGAGCAGGTACTGGACTGGGGTCTGCTGTAGGGAGGGCGGGGCTGGCTGGGGGGGCCTCTCTCCAGGCCCGGTCCTTCCTCCTGCCCTCTCTAAAGGAGCCCTGGAGCCCGGGGCAGATACCACCTGCTTCCCAGCTTTGCCCCTGCCAGCTCGGGCTTGAACAGGCCACCCGGCTAAGCCCTCTCTGAAAACCAAGGTAGAGAAAAGCTTCCACCCATGAGGGAGAATTCAGTTTCCCCACAGTGGGCAGAACCTGGCAGGGGAGGCTGGCACCCTCCTGCTCTGGACCTGTTGGGGTCCGTAAGTGTGTCCTGAAAGGCTCAGTCAGGAACCCCTTCCCCTAAAGCCCTGAAGCCCCACCTGGCCCCCGCACACCTTGGGGATGGCACCATTCTCCTCCACAAGCAGGGGCGACCCACTGTGGGCAGGCAAGGCTTCCCCATCGTCCCGGCAGACGCAGCAGAACAGCGAGTGGAGGATGCCCCGGCTTCGGGGCTTCTGGGAAGCTGCTGACCTCTGGTCACCTGAAATAATGAGGCCCCAGTTGGGGGCTGGGTGCACACTGGCCTTTAGAATCCCGCATGTGTGCCCAGGCATGAACCTCTGAGCTGGGAGGATCTGGCCGTGGCCACTTCATTAAGGGAGACACACTAAGGTGGCTCCTGACTCTTCCTGAAATGCCCCTGCCAGGGGCCCCACAGTCTGCTCCAAGGCTCCTGCAGCTCCCCACAAGTAGGTCTAGCGGTATTAAGGCGCCCGCCCACATAGGGAGTGGCTGACTGGAGAAGGGAGTCCTGGGGTGCGCTTTCCCTGCCTCTCACAGCCTCCATGACTGCTGCTGATCGTGAGCCCACCTTACCAGAGCACTCCGGCTCAGGAGAGTCAGGGCCTGGGGCTCAGGACAGTTGTCCACCCCTGCCCTCCCTGGATCCTCTCCACCCACTGTGGGACAAAGTCCTCACTGCAGCTGGGCCCAGAGGCAGGGGTGCAGACCCGCGGTCTGGGGCCAGTGTCCAGCGGCCATCTGTTTGCCCCGCCCCGCCCAGACCTCCGACCTGGAGCCCCGCAACGGCTGCCTGATTGACAGACACCCCTCCCACCCCACCCCCTCCGGTCCCCTGTAACTAGCTTTTCCACCTTGCCCCCTGCTCCGGGGCAGCCAGGCCCAGGTGGGGGTGGGCAGACCTGGGGGCGGCGTCCAGGTCCTGAGGTCCACACAGGGAAGAGGAGGGGCAGACCCCCACCCCGGTCCAGCCACCCGGGGGCGCAGCCTTCGAGGGGCAGTGCGTGCCCACCAGGCGCAAGACTCTCCCCGCGGGCGCCAGGAGACTCTTGGAAGTTCTGGCCGTCCTCTCTGTGCCTCCGAGGGGCTCGGCGCCACCACGCGTGACGCGAAGTTTGTGGGAACGTGGCTGTGTGTTGGCGGAAGATCCCTCCAAGCCTCCCCAGCCCGCTGTCACCTCGGCGCCCCCTCCCAAGACCCTACCGGACCGCAGCCTGGAGGGGGGGGTGTGGGGCGGAGTCTCAGCGGGTGGCCCATGGGCGCCCTCCTCAGCGCCCCCATCTCCCAGCCCCATTGGCGCCAATGGGGGGGACGCCCATGCACCATGCAATGCCAGCCAGGGAGCCCCCAAAGGAGTTCTCTACTCCTGCCTCAGTTTCCTCACCTCTAGCGGACTGGAGCGCCCCAAAGGCGCCAGGCCCCGCCCCGCGTCCCTGAGCCTCCTTTGAGTTCAAACTCGCCCCGCTCCCTCACGGGCTGGTAGCTTCGGGCAGTGCCGAGGCGGGCGCCCCGGGCAGCTCCCCCGGGGAAGATCCCGGCCCCTCCTCTCCTCCCACGGCGCCCCGGCCTCGGCCCCCGCCCCGCAGCCCCGGTACCTTTGCCCCGCAATGGGCCCCGAGCCTCCTCCTTGCTGATCTGAGTAATGACGGCCGAGCTGTCCATGGGGCCGGGCGCGCTCCGCTCCGGCCGGACTCTGGCCCGGGCGCCCGGCCTCCCCCCCGGCTGGGGCCGGAATCGGGGCGCGGGGGGGAGGGGAGGGGTGGGAGGGAGGGATCCCCGCGAGCTTCGGAGGGGAGGGGAGCCAGGTTCTAGGGGGGAGGGGGAGGGAGGGGGCGCGGAGGAAACTTTGTTACAACATGGAGTTTCCTCCCCGCGAGGCGGATGCAAACATGGAACCCGGGCGCCGTTTCAAGGCTCCCCCTTAAAAGGGCAACGGCTTCGGTGTGACCTGGACTCGGCCGCGGCTTTCACCACTTCAGGGACCGGCGCGGCTAGGCGGACTGGGAGGCGGGCCGGGCCGGGTTCCTGCCGCGCTCCAGGGGGCGTCGCCTCTCTTCCTGCCGCCCGCCGGCGGGGCCGAGCCTCTGCGGCTGCGTGGCAGGCCCGGTAGCCGGCCCACCGTTCCAAGCTGCCGAGCGTCCCGGGCCAAGGCCCGCCTGCCCGGAGCGCCCACGCCGGGGAGTGCCCGAGTGCTCCGCGGCTCCACCTTTGCGCTGAGAACCCGAACTAGAGGTTTCTTGGTTTCCTCGTTGAGGACTTGGGGATAGCGCTACCTCATCTGTGAAATGGGTCTTCTCTCCTGCCTGGTGGTCGCGGGGGTCAACTCGCAAGGACCTCGTGAACCAGCGAAGGCTCTGCAGGCTCCAAGTATTGCCGCAAACCTCAGAATCACGCTCTTGAATGGGACGGTCGCCCCCCCGCCCCCCCCCCCCCGCAGCCCCAGGGCGAGGTGCCCCCGGTCTGCAGGGCGTGAAATTCCAACTCCCGGCCCTGGGAAGCGGCCTGCCGACCTCTCCCCGCACGTCCACCCGCCGGTCCCGGGCCACCGCGCGTTCCCGCCTGAAGTTTAGTACGCGCTGTTCCCTTCGCGTAGCCAAATCCCACCGACCTTGAGGAAATGCCACCTCCAGGGGCATTTCCAGACCCCCTACCCTGCCCGCGCTCGCCGGCCGCCCTGTGACTACTGGGGGTGCGGTGGGGGTCACTGGACTCGCTGCCGGTCCCTGGAGCCCAGCACGACGCCGCACGCAGTGGGCCCAAAGTCCGACCGTGGGGACCTCAAACCAGAGACTCTCATGGCCCGCCCCACCCGGCCTCTGGCGCGGTGCTGGCACTTGGGAACGGAGGTTCCCGTCTTCACGCGGGAAGCCCCTTCGTGGCGCGCGCCGTGGGTCTGCGGGCCGGCCTTTTCCCGGGTTTATGACGTCCTTTTCACTCGTCGTTACTATTTCGTGTTCACCATTTAAAAATTAAGAATAACGCCAAGCCCGATAAACACGCCTCGGCACTTCCTCCCCTCCCGCTCGCCCCCGGGGCCTCCTTGGCGGGGCGGGGCGGGCGCGTCCTGTCCCGTCCGGCCGCCGGGTGCAACGCGGCGCACGTCCGCCAGGGCCTGCAGAGGGGGAGCCGGGGAGGGGAGGCCCCGCGCGGGGGCCGGGAGGGGAAAGGAGGGGGGCGGTGCCTGCCTGAAGGCGCGGTGGCTTCGTGCTCCGAGGCTAGGAGCGGGCGCGGGAGGGGACTGATCCTCCCGGGCTGGACCCCTCGGCCCTCCTCCGGCTCCTAGGGAGCCCACGGGGCAGCCACCATTGCGCTTCATCACCGTGATCGCCACGCAACGCTGGCGCTGTCCCAGCAGCCTGTTCTGGCTGCGCCTTTTAATCTCATTTACACCTTAGAACGGCCTCCTTCTTATCCCATTTCATAGATGAGGAAACTGAGCTTGAAGAAAGGAAGCGACGTGCCCTGGCTCTAGGGGAAAGGCGGGATTCCAGCCTGGGAGCGGGACATCTGTCTCCCCTGCGGTCCGTTCCCTGGGTGGGGCTTCAGTCTTATCTCCGGATGCTGGGCCCTCTTGACCCCAAAAGGAAGCGTCTGGTGGGGGACTGAGTGGAGTCGTAGCCTCGTCCTTGGCCTGGGTTGGGTGACGCGCCTTCCTCTCTCTCCTTTTCTCCCTCTGTGAAGGGGGCTGGAACCTGGCCGGCTGTACGTCCACCCACCATTCCTAGACGGGCCGTCCTGAGCTCACCGGATTCCTCAGGGATCCCCCACCTCCTCCACCCCCACCTCCAGCCACTTCAAGCCTTGGCCCTTGCAGGTCTTTTCCCAAGGAGACCTAACCCCTCCTCCCAGGCTCCCTAGGCGGCCAAGGCAGCCGAACTTCTCTTCCCGCGCCTTGGGGCCGGTAGTTAGTTGCGGAGTAGGGAAGCCAGTAGGATTGCGTGGCCGGGGGCGGCGGGGCGGGAGGGGACTTCGGGTATCCTCATTGAGATTGCCTACACCCAGCTGCTGTACCCCTCTATCTCTACCGGTGGGGGTCGCTGTATGCACTCTATTTTTGTCTGTTTTACCGATTCGCACCCCAGGAAAAATAAAATCTTGGAGGCTGCAAGTCAAACGGGGAGAGGCAGGAACGGTATTCAGCAAGGTGCTGTATGGCACCTGTGGATTAGGAAGTCTCTTCCAACCCAGCCCCTCAGCTTCCCCATCTGCCAAGTGGGGCTGGCAAAAGCCCAACCCAGGGGGATGGGGAGGGCATGCAGAAAGTCGGGGTGCGCTCAGCAGGCTCCTGGGGAGTGCCAAGTGTGAGGGGCCTAAAGGGAGCTTCCAGAAGAGCAACTCTGCACCTCTCTTCCTGGAGGGTAGATCTGACCTTGGGCTGGGAGGGTTAGAACTACTATGGGAATGGGGGCAGCCCTAAGTAGGCGCCTTCCAGTCTCCAAATGACTGACCTTGGTGCGACCTCATTAACAACCCTTTGCCCAGGCCCTGGGTAGCCCCTCAGCCAGCCCTCCGCGCCTTCTTGACCAACCTGCCCATTTCTCTGCGGTTCCCCCAGTCCTGCCCCACAAAATCTAAGATGTCCCCAGAAGGCTTCATGTATAGGCAGATGTGCACACACGGGCGCCCGTGCTCCTGGCCCTCTCATTCCTCCTGGACAGTCCTGTCGGCACTTCCCCCCACCCCCGAACCGTGTACAGCAAGATTCAGTCCCCTTCCCTGGCCGGCCTCACCGGCAGCGCGCTTCACTGCATCCTGCCACGGCGACTTGTTTGCACAGCTATCTCCCGCCACTGGAGTGCGGGGCCCTTGAGAGCTGACACCTTTAATTCGGGACTTTGCCTCCCTCCCCTACTTGTAACACAGGGCCTGGCTAAGGACTGGCACTCAATGCCAAGTGAATTCATGAGAGGAGTGTGTAGAGAGTACAACTGGGGCATTTCCAGGAGGCTGAAGGATCTGGGAGATGCCTTTCTTCGCTGCACGCCCCCCATTCATCTTCAACTGGCACCCATCTCCAGTGCCAACCCCAGAGAAGGAGGCGGGCCACCCTCTTGCCCAGGTACCCTCTGCAGCACTGGCTCAGGTCGCGCCAGACCGGTCCCATCCCTTCTCTCCTTGAGGGACCCACTCGCATCGTTGCCCTTTTAAGAAAGAGGAAATTCTTCTCATAAACAAGCGTCCGGACCGGAACGCGGAGCCAAGCCGCCTACCCTGCTGGGTCCCTGGGAAATCGGGGGTTCCTCTAGGTGCAGCACCCGGCCCAAGTTCAACTCTGGGGAAAGGCCCGCTGGCCACTCCTAGCTGCCGCACTCCGCGGATCTAGGGCTGGGGTCCGAGGGACCCAAGAAGGTTGGAGGAGGGACTTGGGGGAGCCTAGAAACAGCCTAGGGAGTGTCTATAAAGTGCAGCCCTTGAATGGCGCGAAGGGATGCCCAGCCGCTCCCTAAGGCAGAGGGGTCTCTCTGCCCACACAGCTTCCCCGCACCCACTCTCCCCGGAGGCTTCTGGGGCCCCTGGGCGCGAACCCCAAGCTCCCGCCTCCCCGCGTCGTTTCGCCTGGCGGGAGGGGTGAGGCCAAGGCGGGAGGGCCTGCGTCGGTATCGTCTCTACCCCTAGGAGGAGCAGTCAGAGGAGACAGAGCGGTAACCGCGCGGCGTGGGAGTCGCAGCCGCCAGGTCCCCTAAGGAAATGGCAAAAAACTTGGGCCTCAGAGGCACGGACTCTTGAGTTCCTTACGATCTGGTGCCGGAGAAAGAAGCGCACCTCCGTTTTGCTGTCTGGAAAATGGGTTGCAGGCGGAACAGAAAGGCTGCGGCGAATAGGTGCGGACCAGACCCAGGCATAGGGGTCTTCTGAATGCTTTAGGGACTTGGTGCCTTCCGGATTCCCGTCCCCTGCTCCTTTGGATGAGAAGCGAACTAGTATTTAACTTTCATCATGCCGGGTGTGGTGGCTCGTGCATCTAATTCCCAGCACTTTGGGAGGCGGAGGTGGGCGGATCACTGGAATCCAGCAGTTCGAAACCAGCCTGGCCAGCATGGCAAAACCCGTCTCTACTAAAAATACAAAAATTAGCTGGGCCTGGTGGCGCACGCCACTCCCGGGGCTGAGTCATGAGAATTGTTTGAACCCAGGAGTCGGAGGTTGCAATGAGCCGAGATCGCGCCATTGCCAAGCTCCAGCCTGGGCCACAGAGGGAGACCCTTTCCCTGTCTCAAATAAATAAAAATAAATAAATAAATAAAATACTTAACATTCATCAGACTCTATTTCAAGCTCTAGTTTGGAACCTGTGTCCCGCCCAAGCCTCCAAGTCCCTCAGTCCCCATCCCACCTGCCCTTTGGCTGTCAGATCGCTGAATAAATACCTTTTGAATTTTTTTTTTTTTTTTTTTTTGGCTCCAAGTGCCAGGTCCTATGTTTAAAGTGCTTAACCTCCATGGCAAGGGTGGCAGTGTCTCCATTTTACAGATGAGGACACTGAGACCCAGAGAGTAATCACATGGCTATGCTAGGAAACAGCAGGTCCCTGAGGCTCCCCAGGTTGACCAGCCTTGGGAAGTGCCCTACTCCATCCCGCTGCCTGCACGCGCCCCCTCCACATCCCACAGGCCAGTCGTGCCATCCATGCCACTCCCAGCCAGGTTCCAGGTGTGGGCCTAGCCAGAGGTCTCCCCTTCCCGGTCCTCTTCAAGGAGCCCATACAGGAAGTGGTGGTGGGAGCTGTGGGCCAGAAAGGTGGTTCCGTGGGCAAGGCAACAGGTCCAGACCTGGGGGAGGGGCGACCATGAGTTGGGGAGAGGCCAACACCTCTGGGGAAGCCCCAGTGTGTCCCCCCAGATCCTCTCCATTGGTTGTTTCCTGTCTTTGCCTCACCCATGCCCAAGGCACCCCCCCCCAGCCCTACTGTACCAGGTAGGTGGTAAGGCCCAGGTAGGCTGTGGCTAGCAGGGCCACAAGGCCGAAGTAGGCAGGGTGTGGCAGGCTGGGCAGGTAGCTGATCACGAAGTAGAGGTTGATGGCACAGACTAGCGCCATGATGGAGGCGGTGACGGCCTTGCTCAGCCTGGGGACACAAGAGAGGCTCGGGACTGGCTGGCCGCAGCTGGACCACCTGCATCTACTCCTCTTCATCTCCCAGTGCCCACACACAAAGGCCTGTTCACTGGGCTGCGGGACCTGGAGCAGACAGACCCCCCTGCCCACCTCCTGCCTCCTGGTCCTCCAGGCTGCACACTGGCGGGATTTGGCAAAAGCTGAGTCGGAGGCGAGAGTGAGGAGCTCAGGCCCCAGAAACAGCCCTCTGCTCTGGATTCCAGTCTTCGCTCCCCCACTTGCTAGCTGGGTGACCCTGGGCAAGTTCCTAAGCCTCTCTGGGCCTCTGCAGCTTCATTGGGATAATGGGGAGAATTGGAGCTCGTACCTCTGGGTGGCTATGAGGATTAAATGCGGTGATGCAAGTCCAGCCCTGGGGATGGGGGTACTCACGGGCCATTGACAAACTCCTGCATGAGGGTGGGCATGCTGGTGAACGTGAAGATGGGCAGCACGGCGAAAGGGAGCTGGGAAGAGCAGCAGGAGCCGAAGCTGAGGGATCCTGCCTCAGAATATGGCAAGGGTGGGGGCAACATGGGCGTGGCTTGTAACCTTCTGCCTGGCTGTGAGCTCAACTGTCCTAATCACACTGAGCTTGCTTCCCCGTCTCCTGCCTTCTAAGGTTGTGGGCTCCAAAGCAGGAGAAAGTGTTTGGGGCTCTGGCACCAAGCTGCTTCGGTTTGAATCCCAGCTCTGCCACTAGTAACTTAACTTTTCCCATCTGTAAAATGGGATAATGAGCCTGGGCAACATACAGAGTGAGTTCTTGTCTCTACTTAAAAAAAAAAAAAAAAAAAAAAAAAAAAAAAAAAAATCATCCCTCTCGAAGGCCTGTAATCCCTGCACTTTGGGAGGCCAAGGCAGGTGATCCACCGAGGCTGATGCTGAGTAATCCCTGAGGTCAGGAGTTCCAGACCAGCCTGGCCAACATGAGGAAACTCCATCTCTACTAAAAATACAAAAAATTGACCAGGCATGGTGGCTCATGCCTGTAATCTCAGCACTTGGGGAGGCTATGGTGGGTGGATCATCTGAGGTCAGGGGTTCGAGACCAGCATGACCAACATGATGAAAGTCCGTCTCTACTAAAAATAGAAAAATTAGCTGGGCATGGTGGCAGGCGCCTGTAATCCCAGCTACTCGGGAGGCTGAGGCAGGAGAATCGCTTGATCCCAGGAGGCAGAAGTTGGAGTGAGCTGAAATCATGCCACTGCAGCCTGGGTGACAGTGTGAGACTCTGTCTCAAAAAAAAAAAAAAAAAAAAATTAGCTGGGCATGGTGGTGGGTGCTTGTAATCTCAACTACTTAGGAGACTGAAGCTTGAACCTGGGAGGCGGAGGTTGTAGTGAGCCAAGATCTTGCCACTGCACTCCAGCCTGGGCAGCAAGAGTGAAATTCTATCTCAAAAAAAAAAAAAAAAATTAGCTAGGTGTGGTGGTGTGCACCTATAGTCACAGCTACTCTAGAGCCTGAGGTGGGAGTATGGCTAGAGCCCGGGAGGGTAGGCTGCAGAGAGCCATGATGGAACCACTGCACTCCAGCCTGGGTGACAGAGGGAGACTGTCTCCGGTTAAAAAAGAAAGAAAGAAAGAAAGTCCTACCCTCCTACCCCCAGGGTGGCTTTGGGGATTGTGGGAGCCTTGTAGGCAAGGTGTGCCTGGAATAGGGCCAGGCGGGGCTCAGCATGGGGGTTGCTGGAGGTCCTGTTTAGCTCTGCGGTGGGCAGGGCTAGGGGAGCACTCATATCTCACCAGCAGGCTCTGCAGCACGTTGAGCAGATCATTGAGGCCCGACAAGTCCCTCAGGTCCCGAAAGACAGCTACAAGCACGGTGGGCAGGATGGCACAGGAGCGGGTGAGGAGGACACGGGCGAAGCGTGACCACCGCAGCTTCAGGAAGCCCTGGGGTGGGGGTGATTGCCTTGGTGGGGAGTGGACGGGACTGGGATTCAGAGGCGAGATCCTCTGTAGTCCCTCCACGCCTCATGCCTGGGGCACGCTCTGCTTTTCCACTGCTGAATTGGGGGCAGCTCTGTCCCTAGGTGGCAAGAGGGGATGGATGGGAACAAATGGGGAGCTCTCGTCCTATAGCTGGTTGCTGAAGACTAAACAGTTTTGGGGAAATGGCTCCTGTTAGTCCTGGGTCTGCAGCTTCCGGCAAGTCACCTTGCCTGTCCGGATCTCAGTTTTCTCATCTGTAAAATGGGGCTTATAATGTCTCCCTCTGGGCTACATGAAGGACCCAAAGGCTGGGTGACATGGCTCAGGTCTGTAATCTCCGCACTTTGGGAAGCCAAGGCGGGAAGATCACTTGAGCCCAGGAGTTCGAGACTAGCCTGGGAAACATAGGAAGACCACATCTCTACAAATAATTTTAAAAATTAGCCTGGTGCGGTGGCATGTCCCAACGACTCAGGAGGCTGAGGTTGAGGCCCCAAAGAGCCGTCGTCGTGCTACCCTACTCCAGCCTGGGCAACAGAGCAAAATTCTGCCAAAAAAAAAAAAAAGAAGAAGAAGAGAAAAGGGAAAAAAAGAAGAAAGAAAAAGAAAAGAAAGGCCGGGCGCGGTGGCTCACGCCTGTAATCCCAGCACTTTGGGAGGCCGAGGCGGGTGGATCACGAGGTCAAGAGATCGAGACCATCCTGGTCAACATGGTGAAACCCCGTCTCTACCAAAAATACAAAAAAGTAGCTGGGCATGGTGGCGCGTGCCTGTCATCCCAGCTACTCAGGAGGCTGAGGCAGGAGAATTGCCTGAACCCAGGAGGCGGAGGTTGCGGTGAGCCGAGATCGCGCCATTGCACTCCAGCCTGGGCAACAAGAGCGAAACTCCGTCTCAAAAAAAAAAAAAAAGAAAAAGAAAAAAAGAAAAGAAAAGAAAAAGAAAAAGAAAAGAAAAGAAGGAAAGAAAGAAAAGGATCCACAAGGCCCGGAGTCCTAGACCCCAGTTGTGCGCCTGCTGTCATTGGACCCCTTGCCCTCCCGGGCCCGCCCCCCGCCCCACCTCCATCACGAACTGTCCCGCGTAGGTGCCGGTCATGGTGGAGCTCTGCCCGGCCGCCAGGAGACCTATGGCCCAGATGTAGAGGGCCGCGGGGCCAAACAGGCAGCCCAGGATCACGCCCTGCAGGGACGGAGTGTGGTCGGACCGGGGCGGGGTTCATCTCCAGGTCACGCCCTCCTCGCCCACCCTCGCTCACCCCCTGGTAAATGTCCACGGCCACGGTGGCGTTGTTCATGGGGAAGATCTTGGCGTAGTCGTGAAGGCTGCTGTTGGCACAGATGTTGAACTGCGGGTACACGGGCAGTAAGAGGAAGATGTGAGGAGCACCCTCAGTCTTGGGAAACCGAACACTTAGCCTGGACCAGGGTTCCAAAACTGGTGGCCCCACGCTGAATCTGGCCAGACAGATTTTGTTTGGCTAATAAAATAAGTCGGGTTTTCTTTTGCTTCGCTTTTATGTTTTGTAGCGACAAGGGTCTGGTCATGTTGCCCAGGCTGGTCTTGAACTCCCAGGCTCAAGCGAGCCACCTGCCTTGGCCTCCCAAAGTGCTGGGATTACTGGCGTGAGCCACTGCGCCCAGTCGGTTTTTTTTTTTTTTTTAATGTGAATTTGTTGCCAACATTTAAAATTGAGAAGGCCTGACATGAGAACCCAGTTTCCAGCTTCTTTTAGGTTTGTGAGAGCTGGCATCAATCCACACAGACAGCTGGCTGGCATGCCTGGCTTCCCTTCCTTACACTACCCACTTCCCTTAGCTCTGCACCCCTGCCTGGTCTTGAAGACAAGGGTTGGCAATCCTGATTTTGACCTCTCTCCTTGTGCCAAGGAACAGAGTGAGACCCAGGGAGGAGACTGTGACCTCCCAAAGAAATAGAGCAAGGCAGTGGCAGTGCCCGGGTCCTTGGAGGCCTGGCCACCCCTCCTCCCACAGGGCTCAGCATTCAGGAAGCCCCAACCCTGGCTGCCGTTAGTTGTTAGAGCCTCATGACTAAGATCCACTCAGAAGGGGAGACAGATACAGAGACATAGGTCCCAGGTCCCAGAGAGTCAGGGAGGAGCTGGCTAGTTCCTTTTCCAGTGTTAGGAACAAGTGTCACCTCTTCCAAGAAGCCTTTCCTGACCACCTAGGCTAATGCAAGCCCCACCTCCACACCCCTAGGTATGCTTCTTCACACACACCCCGCCCCCGCTTTATTTCTTTTCTTTTCTTTTCTTTTTTTCTTTGAGATGGAGTTTCGCTCTTGTCGCCCAGGCTGGAGTGCAATAGCACGATCTCAGCTCACTGCAACCTCCGCCTCCCAGGTTCAAGTAATTCTTCTGCCTCAGCCTCCTGAGTAGCTGGGATTACAGGCATGCACCACCACACCCAGCTAATTTTTGTATTTTTAGTAGATATGGGGTTTTACCATGTCGGTCAGGCTGGTCTTGAACTCCTGACCTCAGGTGATCCACCTACGTCTGCCTCCCAAAGTGCTGGAATTACAAGTGTGAACCACTGTGCCCGGCCTTTTTTCTTTTCTTTCCTTTCTTGTTTTTTTGTTTGTTTGTTTGTTTTGTTTTTGAGACCGAGTTTCACTCTTGTTACCCAGGCTGGAGTACAATGGCGCGATCTTGGCTCACTGCAACCTCCGCCTCCTGGGTTCAGGCAATTCTCCTGCCTCAGCCTCCTGAGTAGCTGGGATTACAGGCACGCGCCACCACGCCCAGCTAATTTTTTGTATTTTTAGTAGAGACGGGGTTTCACCATGTTGACCAGGATGGTCTCGATCTCTTGACCTTGTGATCCACCCGCCTCGGCCTCCCAAAGTGCTGGGATTACAGGCTTGAGCCACCGCGCCCGGCCTCTTTTTTTTGTTTTTTTTTTGTTTTTTTTGTTTTTCTTTCCTTTGTTTCTTTTTCTTTCTTTCTTTAAGTGTGAACCACCAGGCCTGGCCTCTTTTCTTTCCCTCGCTTCCTTCCTTCCTTCCTTTCTTCTTTTTTGATGGAGTCTTGCTCTGTCACCAGGCTGGAGTGCAGTGGGGCGATCTCGGCTCACTGCAACCTCTGCCTCCCGAGTTCAAGCAATTCTCCTGCTCAGCCTCCTGAGTAGCTGGGACTACCGGCACACACCACCACTCCTGGCTGAATTTTTGTATTTTAGTAGAGATGGGATTTCACCATGTTGGCCAGGATGGTCTCGATCTCCTGACCTCGTGATCCGCCTGCCTCAGCCTCCCAACGTGCTGGTATTACAGGCATGAGCCGCCAAGCCTGGCCCACCCCCTTTATTTCTTCCCACTCTGCACTTCCCTTGGGTATTCATTCCTGTCTGCTCACCTCCCTCCCTATTTAAGCTGCAAGAGAGCAGGGTCTTTGTAGCATTGACTGCTGTATCCCCAGGGTCTAAGATGCACTTGGTACATAACAAATGCTCAGTAATTATTGGCTGAATGAATGATATCTACCGACAGGGAAGATGATCAGGGCAGGGACTCAGAAGGGCTCAGCTGTATTGCCTAGGGTCCTCAGCAAGGCTTATAGGACACGAGTATAGGTGTGGCCTCAGGGGCAGGGAAAAGTGTGTCTCACCGCAGCCTGGTTGGTTTGCTGGTAGAAGGCCTGCCCAAAGACAGCCATGACAAAGAGGTTGATGAGAAAGGAGACAGACAGGGCAGCGGTGGCCTCAATCAGGAAGTACATGTTGGCTTCTCGGATGTCCACGCGGCGGGCCCGGTCTATCTCTCGAGACTATGAAGGTCAAAGGGGAAGGGAAGGGCCAAGGTCCCTCAGAGCCACCACAGTGTCCCCACCCTCACATTTCTTTCTTTTTTTTTTTTTCCTGAGGCAGTCTCACTCTGTTGCCCAGGCTGAAGTGTAATGGCGTGATCTCAGCTCACTACAACCTCCGCCCCCTGGATTCAAGCGATTCTCTTGCCTCAGCCTCCCAAGTAGCTGGAATTACAGGTGACTGCCACCATGCCTGGCTAATCTTTTTGTATTGTTAGTAGAGAGATGGGGTTTCACCATGTTGGCCAGGCTGGTCTCGAACTCCTGACCTCAGGTGATCCACCCACCTCTGCCTCCCAAAGTGCTAGGATTACAGGCATGAGCCACTGCACCCAGCCATTATTTTATTTTTTAAAGACAGGTCTTGTTCTGTCACCCAGGCTGGAGTGCATGAGTCACTGCAGCCTCCAACTCATGGGCTCAAGTGATCCTCCTGTCCCAGCCTACTGAGTAGCTTGGACCACAGACACACATCACCACACCCCGTTAATTTTTAAATTTTCTGTAGAGACAGGGTCTTGCTAAAGCTGGTCTTAAACTCCTGGGCTCAAACAATTCTCCTGTCTTGGCCTCCTAAAGTGCTGGATTACAGGCATGAGCCACTGCTAGGTACCCAAGCCTTATTCACTTCTGCCTCATGGACTTTCCACTTGCTTTCCTTCTGCTTGTAATATCATTTCCCTGATCTGCGTCCCCAACTTTCAGTCATTCTGTCATATTTCTCTTTTTTGTTTATTTTAGAGTCCCTTTCACAATCTTTTTTTTTTTTTTTTTTTTTTTTTTTTTTTTTTTGAGATGGAGTCTTGCTCCATCACCAGGCTGGAGTGCAGTGGTACAATCTTGGCTCACTGAAACCTCCATCTCCTGGGTTCAAGTGATTCTCCTGCCTCAGCTTCCCAAGTAGCTGGGACTACAGGTGCATGCTACCACGCCAGCTAATTTTTTTTTTTTTTTTTTTTTTTTGAGGCGGAGTTTCGCTCTCGTTACCCAGGCTGGAGTGCAATGGCGCGATCTCGGCTCACCGCAACCTCCGCCTCCTGGGCTCAGGCAATTCTCCTGCCTCAGCCTCCTAAGTAGCTGGGATTACAGGCACGCACCACCATGCCCAGCTAACTTTTTGTATTTTTAGTAGAGACGGGGTTTCACCTTGTTGACCAGGATGGTCTCGATCTCTCGACCTCGTGATCCACCCGCCTTGGCCTCCCAAAGTGCTGGGATTACAGGCTTGAGCCACCGCGCCCGGCCAATTTTTGTATTTTTAGTAGAGATGGGGTTTCACCACGTTGGCCAGGATGGTCTCAATCTCCTGACCTCATGATCTGTCCACCTCAGCCTCCCAAAGTGCTGGCATTACAGGTGTGAGCCACCATGCTCAACTAATTTTTTTTTTTTTTTTTTGAGCCAGAGGTCTTGCTGTGTCAGGCTGGAGTACAGTGGTGGGATATCAGCTCACTGCAGCCTCTCCCTCCCTGGCTCAAGCCTTGGCCTTCCGAGTAACTAGGACTACAGGTATACACAATGCCTAGCTAATTTATTTTTTATTTTTTGTTGGTAGAGATGGGGTTTCACCATGTTGCCCAGGCTGGTCTCCAACTCCTGGGCTCAAGAGATCCACCTGCCTCAGTCTCCCAAAGTGTTGGGATTACAGGCGTGAGCCACCTCACCTGGCCCTATAATTTTTTTTTTTTTTTTTTGGCTCTATCTCTGCTCATCACAACCTTTGCCTCGTGGGTTCAAGCGATTCTTCTGCCTCAGCCTCCTGAATAGCTGGGATTACAGGCTGGTCTCGAACTCCTGACCTCGTGATCCTCCCACCTCAGTCTCCCAAAATGCTGGGATTACAGACCTGAGCCAACGCGCCCAGCCTATAATTCTTTCCTCTGTTTACTTGCTTGGCGTCCGTCTACCTCACTAGCATGCAAACTCTAGAAGGACAGGGGCCTTGACTGGCTGTTCCTCCCAGCGCACTGTAGACACTCCGTTATTACAGGCTCTGAAAATCCTGACCGAAGGAGCCAGAGGGGAGGGGCTCCAGGCTTGGAGGCGGGGCCAGCATGGCTCCGACTGAGTTAGGGGTCTCCCTTCCCCTCCCCTCTGCTCACCTTGACCAGGGCCGAGTGCAGGTAGATGTTGTGGGGCATGATGATGGCGCCAACAATGCCCACCGCCTGCAGCAGCTCGGGGTGGCCGCAGCCCGGGCACAAAGGCAGGAACAGACCCTTAAGAAGCGCTCCCTGCGCAGGACGCGCCACCACATACTGCAGGGAGGAGCCTGGTCAGGACAAGCCCCGCCCCTCGCGACCACGCCGTGGTCACCGCTTCTCAGCCTCCATCCCCACCCCAGTCCCCCGCAGGTAGAGGGCAGAGGGAAGGGGAGAGAAATGATCTTGGGAGGCGCGCAGGGGGTTGAAGCACTGGCTTCCTACCTCATAGCCAAAGGTCAAGGCCATAATGGTTATAAGCAGTCCAAAAAAAGCTTCCAGCTTCCGCAACCCTACAGGGCAGAACAAACCAACCAAACAAACCAACGAGAAACATCTGTAACATTAACAATTCGTAATGGCTAATACTACCAGCGCTTCCACGCACAGTGCCAAGCGCTTAACATACGTGACCTCACTCAGGCTTTACAACCACCCTCTGATGTCTGTGCTATTATTTCCCCATGTTACAGGTGAAGAAAGAGCTGTTCACCTAACTTTCCAGAGGCCACCCAGCGAGGGTGAGAGGGCTCAGGTGCGCCCCCAGGCAGCCCGATGTTAGAGCCCTTCTCCCAGTCCAGGACCCTCACCACCACCACTCCCCTGTGAGGTAGGGTGTGCACCCACCATAGTTATCGAGGAAGAGGAAGAAGAAGGTGTCCACAATGGTGATGAGGACGCCACCCCAGAGCGGGATTCTGAAACCAGAGTGGCCTGGGTCAGCCCAGCCTGGTCCAGGAGTCACTAACTCCTACGTAGCCTCAGGGCTGGAGACAGCCTCAGGTCTCCTGGGAGCAGGAGGGAGTGTGGCATAGAACACTTGAGGCAGGGCATAGCTAGAGGAGAAGCCTAGTGTCTGGCGTGGCAGGGAGTTTGGGGCTGCAGTCCCAAAGTCCTGCATGACTCATACCTGCATGACTTTAGACAAATCACTTTACATTTCTGGAAAACAGAGCAGCAGCCCTATGTCAGAGGGGACAGCAGGATAACATAGACTCGGGGAGGGACAAGGCGGTGGGGGTGGAGTGGGGCGGGGGAAGTAGCAGCAGCTGTTCCTGGCCTCTGCCTGAAGGGCTGGGTCACATTGGGGTGGTACCGTCCAGCTGAGAGCAGATTGAATGCAATGGCTGTGCCGATGACTTCCTGCATGTCGGAGCCCACAATGGCTAGCTCGATGGTCAGCCAGAGGAGGGTGCGGGGCACCTATGGGGAGGAGATTATCCTTCATCAAGGGTGGGCAGGTTATCTGTCTGTGGTCTCAGCCCCACGTGCATCTCCGTACTCCTTGTGTTGATGGGCTGGAAGCCTGCAAACTACATTTGCAAGACAGTCTTGCCAACTGGCTTCCATTTTCGTTATGTAGGAAGAGCTTACAGGAGATAGAAAGGCAGAGAGAAATTTTTTGTGGTTGTTGTGACACTCACAACAGCCAAGTCCCCAGGGTTGTGAGTATTTTGTTTTGTTTTGTTTTGTTTTTTGAGATGGAGTCTTGCTCTGTCACCCAGGCTGGTGCAGTGGCTCGATCTCTGCTCACTGCAAACTTTGCCTCCCGGGTTCAAGCAATTCTCCTGCCTCAATCTCCCAAGTAGCTGGGACTACAGGGGCACGCTGCCATGCCCGTCTAATTTTTTTTTTTTTTTTTTTTTTTTGAGACGGAGTTTCTCTCTTGTTACCCAGGCTGGAGTGCAATGGCGTGATCTTGGCTCACCGCAACCTCCGCCTCCTGGGTTCAGGCAATTCTCCTGCCTCAGCCTCCTGAGTAGTTGGGATTACAGGCACATGCCACCATGCCCAGCTAATTTTTTGTATTTTTAGTAGAGACGGGGTTTCACCATGTTGACCAGGATGGTCTCGATCTCTTGACCTCATGATCCACCCGCCTCGGCCTCCCAAAGTGCTGGGATTACAGGCGTGAGCCACCGCGCCCGGCCCTTTTTTATATTTTAGTAGAGACAAGGTTTCACCGTGTTGCCCAGGCTGGTTGCAAACTCCGGAGCTCAGGCAATCTGCCTGCCCCAGCCTCCCGAAGTGCTGGGATTATAGGCGTGAGCCACCCCGCCTGCCTGGCTGAGATAAGCGATTTTTTCCCCCTGATTCCGATGGTATTTCCAGCAGTGACACCAGGGAACCTGAGCTCTGGTAGCACCAGCGGCTATTTCATCGGCATCAATAATGCTTCCAGGAGCTCAGCAGCAAAGGATGACTCTCGGGCTTGTGCCAGGAGCGCAGCAGTTTTCTGATCTTTGGATGACACCCTCTCCCTTTGCTCCTCCAGCCCTCCCAAACCTTTCAATCCCTGCATTCAATACCTTTGAAATGTCTAATGCTATCATTTCTGTTTTCCTAACTGGACACTCACAACAGGGTCCACCCCAGCCAATGACCATTCCTGAGCTGATGCCTCCCTGTTTTTTGTCTTGGGCACATCACGTTCCCAAATTTGAATTACCCCTTCTGTGAAATGACGTATCTCTCATGTCCCTCTAGGCTATGTGCTGTCAGTTTGAGCCTCAGTCTTTTCATCTATCAAATGGAATTGAGGCTGGGCACGATAGCTCATGCTTGTAATCCCAGCACTTTGGGAGACTGAGATAGATGGATTATCTGAGGTCAGGAGTTCAAGACCAGCGTGGCCAACATGGTGAAACCCCCTCTCTACTAAAAATACAAAAATTAGCCGGCACGGTAGAGGGCACATGTAATCCCAGCTACTCGAGAGGCTGAGGCAGGAGAATCGCTTGAATTTGGGAGGTGGAGGTTACAGTGAGATGAGATCTCACCACTGTACTCCAGACTGGGCAACTGAGCAAGACTCCAACTGAAAAAAAAAAAAAAAAAAAAAAAACAACTACACACACAGTAAAAAACCAGATGGACTTGGGATGCCCATGTGAGATGTATTTATTTGATCATGGAAGCTGAAAATGGCTGTTTGGGGTTTGGGGCCAGTGGTGCTCCCTGTCCAGGTCCCACAAGCTCACCTTAGGGTAGTAGAGATGGCAGATCTCACCCAAGTCCTTGCCTGTCACCACGCCCAGACGTGCAGCCAGTCGCTGGCAGAGCAGGCCCAACACTGTGGCCCAGAGCAGCACCCAGAGAAGCTGTGAGGAGGCAGGGAGAGGCCTTCAGCCAGAGAGGCCAGCCTCAGAAAGCCCCTGAGCTGGTGGTACCCTCTAAGCAAGGACATTCCTTGGGGAGAGGGTGGGAGAAATGGAGGCCCATCCTGGCTGGGCGCTGGTAGCTAACGCCTGTAACCCCAGCACTTTAGAAGGCTAAGGTGGGAGAATTGCTTGAGTCTAAGAGTTTAAGACCAGGCTGAGTAACATAATGAGACCCTGTCTCTAAATAAATAAATAAATTAGGCTGGGCAATGTGGCTCATGCCTGTAATCCCAGCACTTTGGGAGGCCGAGGCAGGCGGATCATTTGAGGCAGGAGTTTGAGACCAGCCTGGCCCACATAGTGAAACCCTGCCTCTACTAAAATCACAAAAATTAGCCGGGCGTGGCGGTGTGTGCCTGTAGTCCCAGCTACTCAGGAGACTGAGACAGGAGAATCGCTCGATCCCGGGAGGCAGAGATTGCAGTAAGCCAAGATCTCTCCACTGCACTCCAGCCTGGGCAATAGAGTGAGACTCTGTATCAAAAAATAAAATCAATCAATGAATTATTTTTTTAAAGAGAAGTCCAATCCCCTCACCCCCTACAGATGCCCCACCTTCTGGCAGGGCTGCCCTGGTAACCCTTTTCGGGCCCATTTGAACTTAACACCAGCTCCCAGGCCACACTGGAGACACATGGCCAGCAGGGGCCTCCAACGCTTAGCCTGGTCTCCTCGCTCTCGAAGGTGTCCCCACTCAGGTCCCAACTCAGTTACTTTGAATCCAGCCACGGCGCCAGCCTGAAGATCCGACTCGATGTTTCCTGGGTCCAGGAAAGCAATGCTCATGAGGAAGCCGGGCCCCGTGAAGGCCCACAGCTTTCGCAGGCTGAAGGTGCCCTGTGCGGGGGAGGAATAGAGTGAAGGGGTCCTGGGTATAGGGACGGTGGCACCTGGCTTTGGTCATCCCCCAGAGGAGCCCCAATAGGCTCATCAGCCCAGCCCTCCCCTCCATGGCCCGTTCCTGGGTCTGCCACCCAGGGGATGGGGAGGGCACGGGTGGCGGAAGCAGCAGGCTCTGATGAGTCACGGAGGAGCTGCTTTCTGGATCCGTTAAGCTCAGCAGCCAACTTGCACCTGAACTGCCTGCCCCTCTCAAGTCCTGACTTGTCAGGGCCTCAGAGCCTCCACAGGAGCCTGTCTAGGGACGTGAGGGGACCAAACCTCCCTGGCCCAGTTACTTCATCCCCAGCTCCTTTTCCAACCAGAGGGCCTCCTCTCTGTGGTCCGCTGAGACTATGGTCTCCCCACCCTGTTCCAGGGCATGGCCTGTCAACTTAGAAATCTGCCAAAGAGCCAGGCGCTGTGGGAGGCAGAAGCGGGCGGATCATGAGGTCAGGAGTTTGAGACCAGCCTTGCCAACATAATGAAACCCTGTTTCTTTTTTTTTTTTTTTTTTTGAGACGGAGTTTCGCTCTTGTTACCCAGGCTGGAGTGAAATGGCGTGATATCGGCTCACCGCAACCTCCACCTCCTGGGTTGAGGCAATTCTCCTGCCTCAACCTCCTGAGTAGCTGGGATTACAGGCACGCACCACCATGCCCAGCTAAAGTTTTGTATTTTTAGTAGAGACGGGGTTTCACCATGTTAACCAGGATGGTCTCGATCTCTTGACCTCGTGATCCACCCGCCTCCGCCTCCCAAAGTGCTGGGATTACAGGCTTGAGCCACCGCGCCCGGCATGAAACCCTGTTTCTACCAAAAACACAAAAAATTAGCTGGGAGTGGTGCTGGGCGTCTGTAATCCCAGCTGCTTGGGAGGCTGAGGCAAGAAAATTGCTTAAACTTGGGAGGCAGAGGTTGGAGTGAGCAGAGATCGTGCCATTGCACTCCAGCCTAGGTGACAGTGTGAGACTCCATTTCAAAAAAGAAAGAAAGAAAAAAAAGAAATCTGCTAAAGATATTGGAGACTGGGAGCTGTGGCTCTCGCCTCTAATCCCAGCACTTTGAAAGGCCGAGGTGAGCGAATCGCTTGAGTTCAGGAGTTTGAGGTGAGCCTGGCCAACAGGGTGAAACCCTGTCTCTACTAAAAATACAAAAATTAGCCAAGGGTGGTGGGGCATGCCTCTAATCCCAGCTACTCAGGAGGCTCAGGCAGGAGAATCACTTAAACTCGGGAGGTGAAGTTTGCAGTGAGCTGAGATGGTGCCACTGCACTCCCACCTGGGTGACAGAGCCACACTCCAACTCCAAAAAAAAAAAAAAAAAAAAAAAGAGAAGATATAGGCCTTGCACGGTGGCTCACACCTGTAATCCCAGCACTTTGGGAGGCTGAGGTGGGCAGATTACCTGAGGTCAGGAGTTTGAGACCAGCCTGACCAACATAAAGAAACCCTGTCTCTAGTAAAAATACAAAATTAGCCGGGCATGGTGGTGCATGTTTCCTGGCAGGGCTACTAAAGATTCCTTTAATCCCAGCTACTTGGGAGGCTGAGGCAGGAGAATCGCTTGAACCCAGGGGCAGAGGTTGTAGTGAGCTGAGATTGCGCCATTGCACTCCAGCCTGGGCAACAAGAACAAGGGTGAAACTATGCCTCAAAACAGAAAAAAAAGAAGGTACCGGAAATGCAGGTGACAGCATCCTAGATGTCAGATGCCAGATGCCAGCCTGCAGCTTCTTCACTTCTCCCTATGACCTTTCCTAAATGCTAAAACATGTCCTCAAGGCTCCAGTCCCAGAGCTGGAAGGCACTTGCCACTCATGATCACAAAGAGACCCCATTCTCCAGCCTGTGAGAGCCCAGAGGATCCTGTCAATCTTGCAAGCCCCCAGGAAGCTTCCAGCGTCCCACCGGTTTCATGTCCGGGATGGGGATCTTCTCACTCAGGTAGGTCTCTCTGGGAGGCACTTGCTGTGGTCCTGGGCTGGTGGGGCTTGAGATGGAGCCATAGCTGGACCTGCTCAGCCTCTGGGGACCCTTGTCACCTGTGGGGGCCCATGAAGCATGGTGAATGTCCTGCCTCTTTAGTTAAAGCCACCTGCTCTCTTCCTACCTCCTCCTCCTGGAAAATTGGAGAAACTAAGGTCCCTGACCCCATCTTGGGTCCATCACCTCCACCCCTTGACCAAACATTCCAGATGTGTGGGATGTGGCAGCTTCCGAATCACTGTCCTCTCATGTGAGCACAGATGCCCAGAGGCAGATCTCCTGCCACAGAGGATGCAGAGACCCTGAGCTCTAAGAAGGGCAAGCTGAGGCCACATGTCTGCCCCTTGGCCGGATCCCCCACCTCCTCCAGCAGCCCAGAAAACTCCAGGGGCTTTGATCCATGGGCTTCAGACAAAGGAAAGGTAGACCCCTTAGGGTTGTGAAGGACTCCACCCCAGTGAGAATGATCTGGTGTCCAGAACTGTGTTATAGACCAGGACTTCCACGGGGGACCAGGGGCTTTCTTGCTTCCTCAAGTCTCTATCAGCCTAGTGACCTCCTCCATCCCACCCCTTAATCAGGCTCTGTCTCTAGGGGCCACTACTCACCCATCATTGGGACGCTGACTTCAGGTACTCTGGGAGTATGAGCAGTGCTCTGGGCAGCTCCTCAGCCTGCACCCCTTCTCTGGATGCTGGTGCAAGTGAGAGTGTGAGCCCACACCCTGTTACCCATCCACAGCTGAGGGCCCTGCCTCTTACATCAATATTCACTTCACAGCTGCAGATTGACACACACACACAACATGGGGCGTTGTGAAACATTTTCCAAAGGCAGAAGTGGGCAGCCCTGGCGGAAGGGTCTGGTCACCCATGGAGTGGACTTTTGTTCCCCTCCCAGCCTGCCCTATGCCCCACAACACATCTGTTCCCCTTCCAGGCACCTCATGTTCTGCGCCTCCCAAGTTAGCTCTGATTTCAGACACTTCCTGCCCCTTGTGCATTCATGTCAATATCCCATGACCACACCCCCTTTTGCCCCCCACCACACACACACACACACACACACACACACACAGAGTGGCAGGCCTTTCTTCTCCTCTTTGATCTGGAGTTCCAAGGCCCCTGGTTGGCTTAATTCGAGTCTTCACGTCCTTAAAGGCCTCAGTTTCCCTTTGAGGGCCTCAGAGGAAAGGCACTGCAGAAGGGACATGCATTCAAAATTCAGTCCGAGGATGTCCCCAGAAGATAGGGCACTGGGATCTGGTCCTGGTTCAACCACGGATTCACTTGAGATTGTCACCAGATCATGTCCCTTCTCAGAGTTGTTTATTCTGTTTATTTCCCCTTTTTTTAGAGACAAGGTTTTGCTCTGTCACCCAGGCTGGAGTGAAGTGTGAAGTGCAGTGGTGCCATTATAGTTCACTGCAGCCTCAAACTCTTTTTTTTGAGACTGAGTCTCGCTCTGTCGCCTAGGCTGGAGTGCAGTGGCACCATCTCAGCTTACTGTAACCTCCACCTCCCAGGTGCAAGTGATTCCCCTGCCGCTACCTCCCCAGTAACTGGGACTGCAGGCACATATCACCACACCTGGCTATTTTTTTTGGATTTTTATTATTATTATTTTGAGATGGAGTTTTGCTCTTGTTGCCCAGGCTGGAGTGCAATGACATGATCTTGGCTCACTACAACCTCTGCCTCTGCCTCCCAGGCTCAAGCGATTCTCCTGCCTCAGCCTCCTGAGTAGCTGGGGTTACAGGCATCTACCACCATGCCTGGCTAATTTTGTATTTTTAGTAGACATGGGGTTTCTCCATGTTGGTCAGGGTGGTCTCAAACTCCTGACCTCAGGTGATCCACCCATCTCAGCCTTCCAAAGTGCTCAGATTACAGGCGTGAGCCACCATGCCTGGCTAATTTTTTGTATTTTTTTTTTTTTTTTTTTTTTTTTTGAGACGGAGTTTCGCTCTTGTTACCCAGGCTGGAGTGCAATGGCGCGATCTCGGCTCACCGCAACCTCCGCCTCCTGGGTTCAGGCAATTCTCCTGCCTCAGCCTCCTGAGTAGCTGGGATTACAGGCACGCACCACCATGCCCAGCTATTTTTTTTTTGTATTTTTAGTAGAGACGGGGTTTCACAATTTTTTGTATTTTTAACGGAGACAGGGTTTCACCGTGTTAGCCAGAATGGTCTAACAGCATATTAGCCAGGATGGTGGAAAATTCACACATTTGGTGTCAGAAGTGCTGAGAGTAGAGAAACAGAATTTTTCTTTCTAGAGAGGTTTTCAGGCCCAGATTTGACCTGGGTTATAATTTATCCCTATGTTGAGTTAAAACCTTTTTTTTTTTTTTGAGTCAGAGTCTCACTCTGTCACCCAGGCTGGAGTGCAGTTGCATAATCATGGCTCACTCTATCCTCAAACTCCCAGGCTCAGCCTCCTGAGTAGCTGAGACTATAGGCACATGCCACCAAGCCTGGCTAATTTTTGTAGAGACATGGTTTTAAAATGTTGCCTAGGCTGATCTCAAACTCCTGGGCTCAAGAGATCTGCCTGCCTCAGACTCCCAAAGTGCTGGGATTACAGGGTTGAGCCACCTTGCCTGACCCAGTCAAAAACTTAGATGAAGTTTGGAAGGCTAGGGTGGGAGAAGGGGCCAATTTTACGGTTCCTCATGGATGGGAGAGGCTGGAGGAACTATAGAGGTGTGGGAAGAGGGATGAATGATGCGTTCAGTGAGGCAACAGCAGCATCGTGGTTTGTCACTCACTGTGCAATCCTACTGCTCTTGGTACTGTCACCATCCCTTGCCTCAGAGGTTTGCGTGGATTTCCTAATCACTGTTTTGAGCTCATATGGGGATGAGTGGAGTTGAGGCTGGAATGTCTTCCCTTTTTGCATCTTTTGTGGGACGTTTCTTAAGTTAGGAACTCAGTAAGTGTAATTGATTAGCCGTTGATTAATACCCTGCACAACCTCTAACTTAAAGAAGAGGCAATAGGCTGGGTGCTGTGGCTCACACTTGTAATCCCAGCACCTTGGGAGGCCGAGGTGGGCGGATCGAAAAGTCAGGAGTTCAAGACCAGCCTCACCAACATGGTAAAACCTCCCCGTCGCTACTAAAAATACAAAAATTAGCCCGGCATGGTTGTGCACTCCTGTAAGCTCAGCTACTCAAAAGGCTGAGGCAGGAGAATCATTTGAACCTGGGAGGCAGAGGTTGCAGTGAGCCGAGATTGTGCCACTGCATTCCAGCCTGGGTGACAGAGCAAGACTCTATCTCAAAAAAAAAAAAAAAAAAAAAAAAAAAAGCAAAAAACAGAAGAGGCAATATAGGCCGGGCGCGGTGGCTCAAGCCTGTAATCCCAGCACTTCGGGAGGCCGAGGCGGGTGGATCACGAGGTCAAGAGATCGAGACCATCCTGGTCAACAAGGTGAAACCCCGTCTCTACTAAAAATACAAAACATTAGCTGGGCATGGTGGCGCGTGCCTGTAATCCCAGCTACTCAGGAGGTTGAGGCAGGAGAATTGCCTGAACTCAGGAGGCGGAGGTTGCGGTGAGCTGAGATCGTGCCATTGCACTCCAGCCTGGGTAACAAGAGTGAAACTCTGTCTCAAAAAAAAAAAAAAAAAAAAAAAAAAAAGAGGCAATATAGTGTAATAGTTAAGAGCAGAAAGGGCCAGGCGCGGTGGCTCAAGCCTGTAATCCCAGCACTTTGGGAGGCCGAGGCGGGTGGATCACGAGGTCAAGAGATCGAGACCATCCTGGTCAACATGGTGAAACCCCGTCTCTACTAAAAATACAAAAAATTAGCTGGGCATGGTGGCGCGTGCCTGTAATCAGGAGGCTGAGTGAGGCAGGAGAATTGCCTGAACCCAGGAGGCAGAGGTTGTGGTGAGCCGAGATCGCCCCATTGCACTCCAGCCCGGGTAACAAGAGTGAAACTCCATCTAAAAAAAAAAAAAAAAAAAGAGCAGAGGTTCTAGGCTACATAAGAGAGCAGGAAGCTACATGAAGAGCTATAGAAATCTGTATAGGGCTGGGCGCAGTGGCTCACGCCTGTAATCCCAGCACTTTGGGAGGCTGAGGTGGGTGGATCCCCTGAGGTCGAGAGTTCAAGATCAGCCTGACTAACCTGAAGAAACCCTGCCTCCACTAAAAATACAAAATTAGTCAAGCGTGGTGGCATGTGCCTGTAATCCCAGCTACTTCGGAGACTGAGGCAGGAGAACCACTTGAACCCAGGAGGCAGAGGTTGTAGTGAGCCAAGATCTCACCATTGCACTCCAGCCTGGGCAACGAGAGAAACTCGGTCTCAAAAAAGTAAAATAAATAAAATAAAATAAAATAAATAAATAATGAACCCGCATGGGTTTCCCCTTGGATCTGGAGCTGTTGCTGAATACTAAACCTTGCATGGTTGGGGTGACAGTCCATGAAGTCTAATTCACTCAAAATTCCATATATCACTAAATATAAAATGTTTAGTTAAAAACATCGGAGAAAGTGCCAGGCGCGGTGGCTCGAGCCTGTAATCCCAGCACTTTGGGAGGCTGAGGCGGGTGGATCACGAGGTCGAGAGATCGAGACCATCCTGGTCAACATGGTGAAACCCCGTCTCTACTAAAAATACAAAAAAATTAGCTGGGCATGGTGGCGCGTGCCTGTAATCCCAGCTACTCAGGAGGCTGAGGCAGGAGAATTGCTTGAACCCAGGAGGCGGAGGTTGCGGTGAGCCGAGATCGCGCCATTGCACTCCAGCCTGGGTAACAAGAGCGAAACTCCGTCTCAAAAAAAAAAAAAAAAAAAAAAAAAAACATCGGAGAAAAGCTTTAGAATCTAGGGCTAGACAAAGACTTCATAGACTTGATATGAAACCCATGATCCGTAAAGGGAAAACTTGATATATTGAACCTCATAAAAATTAAAAACTATTTAAAAGCTTTTGCTTGGTGAAAGACTCTGCTATGAAGTTGAAAAGACAAGATACAGACTTGGATGACATATTTGCAAGTCACATATCTGACAAAGGTCTAGTATCTAGAAATATAAAAATATCTTAAAATTCAACAGGCTGGGTGCCGTGGCTCATGCTTGTAATCCCAGCACTTTGGGAGGCCGAGGCAGGTGGATCACCTGAGGTCAGGAGTTCGAGACCAGCCTGGCCAACATGACAAAACCCCATCTCTACTAAAAATACAAAATTAGCTGGGTGTGGTGACAGGTACCTGAAATCCCAGCTACTCAGGAGGCTGAGGCTGGAGAATCACTTGAATCCAGGAGGCGGAGGTTGCAGCCTGTAATCCTAGCACAGCATTTTAGGAGGCCAAGGCGGGCGAATCACAGCAGGTCAGGAGATAGAGACCATCCTGATCAACATGGTGAAAGCCTGTCTCTACTAAAAATACAGCAGTGCAGGGTGGCTTACGCCTGTAATCCCAGCACTTTGGGAGGCTGAGGCGGGCAGATCACTAGGTCAGGAGTTCAAGACAAGCCTGACAAACATGGTGAAACTGTGTTTTATTTTATTTTATTTTATTTTTTTTATGAGAGGGAGTTTCGCTCTTGTTACCCAGGCTGGAGTGCAATGGCACGATCTTGGCTCACTGCAACCTCTGCCTCCTGGGTTCAGGCAATTCTCCTGCCTCAGCCTCCTGAGTAGCTGGGATTACAGGCACGCGCTACCATGCCCAGCTAATTTTTTGTATTTTTGGTAGAGACGG